ATAGATATTCCACCACAACCTATGGTTTTATTACCTGAGGCATTTCCATTCAGTCTATTGAAAGAACTATGCAGGAATTTCAAGCACCTCATCAGCTGAAGTGAACACTCAGTCAGGTTTAGAAAGACGGTGTTGAAAAAACAATATCCTTTGATTCGGTTTCTCCCTTCACTTCAATCGACCCAAATCCAGACATCTAAAGGTTGACTAAAATCTTTCAATCTATGCGAAACTCGCCGTTTTCAAGTCTAATAAAGTTGACTGATCTATGCCTCATGACCTACTTAAAGATCATTGAAAAGATTCCCAAACAAACAAAAAGGACACTTACTGGGTCAATATTATCAGGATTGATTGTTTATGCGGTAAGTCAGCTGCTGAGGTCCATATTTATTTCTCTCGTGAAACCAAAATCCAAATTAGGTAAACTGTTGACATTTTAATAATTCTCAAGAAGGATAAAACAGAAAACATGTTCAAACTAATCAAACAAATGTTTGGAGGAATTCAATCCACAAAGGAGGAGAAACTCAGCAACTAAATTCCACTCTTGGTTATCCTCACCACCAGAACGTGTGATAAGTCTTTACAAACTCATATGTACGGGGAAGCTACACACGATGTTCAAAATTTGAGTTATAATAGCAATCTTACTGAAGCCTTTGAGAATTGTGTCCAAACACTGTTCTCAAAAGCCAAGAAGCAGTAAAGCATTACGGAAGGTCAAATAAAAATACTTATACAAAGTGTTCAGATGCAGTAGTTACCCAGTCAATGTTATTAACTTGTTTTTACCAGGAGGATAGAGGATAGTACGACTATTTCAAATTAATAAGAGCTTTACTCTGCCCTACATCAAAAGTGTCTCTGAAACTGTCAGTAATTCGATTCATCTCTTCAAGATTTGAGTTGCACACAAACTAATGAAACAACTGAAGGGTGTGTCGTATGAGCCAAACAGCCAATAGCGAATAGAAACTCGAACAAATATTATCTGAAAAGTCAACTGCAGAGACCGTTCACAACACTATAGTGGCCAGTCTAGCCACTAGTTTGCTCAAATAATTAGCAAACACTAAATAATAGTAGGGTGACATGACACTAGATTCCTGATTTCAATGCATATAGAGAATTATAATCAGGTATCCAACTGGAAGAACAAAAATCCCTGCGTAAAGCAATTTCAAAGGCTACAAGACAGTGTTTAGAAGCATAGCATTCCGATGAAGAACCAGCAACCACGCACGTGGATAAAGACCTAATCCACCTAGGAAGAAAACGGTTATCTATCAAAATAGCTCTCAGAATTCATAGTATTCTATTCTATGAAATGGATGATTTACTAGTGAAGTTTTCATTTTCTTTCCAGAAGGTATAATCTGTATGAAGTTAGTACCAATAATGTTGTATACAAAGAAAGTGGAAGATTCACGATTAAACCGTCCAGCCTATAGAATCCAACAATACCAAGACGATCCACCTGATTTACAAATATTCTCTATCATTCCCTTTATCTCAGTGTAGACAGAAGGCTATCAATCTAGTCTGTGCAGTAGCAATGTCTTCCAGGTTTCACCTAGCTGACTAAATGTCTTTTTATGAAAGCAGAAATGATCTTGAGGAACTGCTGTGGAAAATCCAGCTTCCAAACCAAAAGGTTAATACCAATCATAGGACGAGTCATATTTTCTCTACGTTAAAGCTGACCCTAAATTATAAATAACAGCGATTGCTGAAAGTCTTAACTTTAGTGAAAATTTAAAATTTTATTTCTAGCTATAACAGAATATATAAATAAAACTCTATTTTATGCCATTTTCACAGAATATTGTACTAATTATTTTCTTTGGTTCCCTCCTGGGAATCAAAATTTCTAGTGATTAATAACAAAATTCTTAAACCTGCTATTACGTACTTTACATGTAATCCTTAAAAATGTATCTATACGATGAAAATCGCAAACAACTGTTTTGTGAGTTGAATAGTGTGAATTAATATAAACGACTTCTAGGACGTAGATTTTAGTATGACCATCTTATTTTTAATAACGTAAACTTGAAAAAAGAGGTTCTAATGTAATTCATTTCACGTTTTTTCGTTCCAACTCCTAACGCATGATTAAAAAAAGTTGTCTCTTACGCATATCATTATTCCTATATGCTAGTATTAGTATAGTCCTTGGAAGAGTCAGTATTCAAGACAATTTAAAATTCAGTAAAATCACTACTACAACCATTATGAGCCGAAGCTCAAAATAAGAATTCACAGCTTGGTCTTGCCCCAACCTAGCCAGATAATCTTAACAACATGTTTGGTCTGGGTATTTCGCTTTAAAAACGCCTCCTGACTCCGTTATTGTAAATGAAATACAACAACTGGCTATCGTTTGAATTTTTTAACTAATGTCTTGTAGTTTAAAAGAAACAAAACAAGCTCATTTTTGTCTGTAACTTGTAACGATATGAACAAACTTTGCAGTAAATCTGTTCATTTAGACAAAGTGTACGAAATTCCAAGAGTTCAGTGCGTGTATCCGCGCATATGTTTGATGTTTTACCTTTTGTTGTTTTCCCTGTAATAAATGGGCATGTTGGGCATTATTATTTTCAATTTCCTTGTGTTATCTTACTTTCGTGTTTGTTTTTCTCTTTTCTTGTAATTGGTAAGTATCGAATTACTTTTTACTTTACAAGAAAAAAGAATAAAAGAAGAAAGTTAATTTTAGAGTTGCATGCATGTTATAATGTACAGCGACCACGAATCCTATCGATAATTCTCCACACAAATGCGACGTTGATATCAAGGATGGTGACAGTAGTCACAATAATAATAATAATAACAGGAATAATAACTGCACTAGTAGTAGCATTGTTGGTAAAATGACTCACTTGGCAGTAATATAAATATCCTACTAAAATGAAAACAGGCGGCTACCAGTATCTGTTGGGAAGAGGAGGCTCTGTCATATATTATCATATTCACATAATTAGTAGGGTTGCACGGGAATGATTCATACAGTTAGACTTCAATATCCGAAACATATTGTTCATGGGGGATACGGTTGACAACATGACTCCTAATCTAACAACCTTGAACATTGTAAGGAAATTGAATAAACAGTTTGATTTATAAATTAGGGCATGAAAAAAGTCCTGTGAAGTAACGAAATTCCAGATGAACCTCGATTACCAATGTAATTCAGTCAAATTAATTTTGTTGAGAAGTCCCCTTTGTACACACATAGTAAGCTTAGGTAAAATGTCTACTCCACAATTCTTTGAGTCGTTTTCAGATGCTAGCGACTGATTGATCAGTGCGTGGAAGATGATTCGATACACACGGGCACTTTAGCACCTTTCAGTTGTTAACTTGTTTCTTTGATACTCAATACAATAGCTTTACTCTACCTTCACTTGCCAAACCTGTTGGTTGAGAAATGCCTACTGGATCGCTAATATTTATTGTATACATCCAACCCAAAACTGGTAGCTTTTCTTGAAATTACTTTCAAAGTATTCTTAAAACCCACATTAGTTTATTAAAAATGAATGACTATAAGTGCGATCAAGTCATTGCTAATCTACAGCTTCAAACTTGTTACATATACAATGAAAAACATTTTGTGCAATCATTTTTTTGACATTTCTGTTGTGTTTTCTTATTTGCCTTAAACTTTTAGAGAAACATTTTCTGATTAGATATTTCTTGTGTCAGTCATCAAGTTTTTTGGATTTCCCAAACTACCAGCTGCGTTATACAATATTGTCTACCTCCCTCTCAAAACTACTTTCAATATTCTACTGACATTGACACGAAATCTTGTGGAATCGGTCTTCTTCCCATGGTCACAACAGTAATTCATCATCCCCTGTTTTGATTTCTTGGTTAACTAGACACTCTTACTAAAATATGACGTGATATTCCATTCAATTTTTAAGTTCTGTTCCTTTTTTCTTTTCTTTTCAAAATTCATTACCAAACATAAAGAAATAGCTTATGTTCTTAAATGATACTTTAAAACTTTGAGAATGATATCACTACATGGAAACATCTTACGGCACGTATTTGTTCGATAGCTTCAATAAGTCGTTCTGCTTTGTATTCGCATGGTTAACTGATTTCAGTGAAACAAATGCAGTAAAATTAGTCAAACTGAAAAAAATATGCTGATTAGTACTGTCGTGTTCCTCTTCTTAATAATTTTAGGGTTTCTCTGGACTGTATGGTAAATGGTTACTGAATATTAAATTAACCAACGTCTGAAAATCTCACTTCTCATAATGACTGTAGTGTATCAATCAACTTTTCAGTTTTTCTGGTGATTAAAATGACTTAACGGTGCGACTTATCTTGCTTGATACCGAATAGTTAGAACCACTTTGTAGAACACTGAGACTCAGGTTTCAAGATGCCATATAATCATCATCATGACGTCTCTAAAAACTAAGGGATGTGAAACCTTTTCTAGGTAATTCTAATCTTCACTACCTACAACCACTATAAAAAAAAGCTGGGTGATTTTAGTTATAGCCTCATTTTATCTAAGTGTATTGTCTACGAAACATCACTTTTAAATGAAGACACATCGACTGTTCCAAACAGAAAGAAGTACAGGTTTTTCAAATGAAGTCAGAAGTTATATTCAGACTGAGATGCTTTTTCCTGTAAATTGAAGTTTCGCTTTGAAAAATTTCCAATGATATAATAAATGACATCATCAGTACACAACTGTTTCGCAAGAAAGTGAAGTAAGTTGACTGTGCATGCGTGTCTATGAAATGCTACTTTTCCCGGGTCCAGTTTGACTGGCCGTTTGACTCACCTTTGTACATGCATCGAAAATGATTGGTTGATAATTTGTTTCCAACTTTCTCAAAGGATTGTACAGTTACATCGTTTGCTAACATTCTTTTTGAATACAGTACCCTTAAGGCAATTCATTGAGACTGACGCTTTTTATTTAAATGTTAGTGTTATTATGATTGGCTGGTACACGCAGTCAATTTAATCCACTTATATAAGAAGTAATGGCCCATTGATGACAATGTCCAATTCTTGCCAACAATTCACTGCGATATCCGACATGTTGTCTGGAATAAAATGATTGTTATATGAGACGTTTATGTATTTATAAGCTTTTAGTAATGAACTGAAAGTTATCAATTTCCATCGTGATTGCGTAGACGTTGGAATAGAATAAAAATAGAAGTTATTTTATGTGAGAAAGGCAAACCTAATTCAACTAACTGTCAAAATCATCTAAAAATGTCAAATGTGTAGTATTTTTTAATCGTTACATATCTTTGAGCAGTTATGAAGTTACATCTATATTTTATATGATGCAATCTCATCAACATATTTTTATCGAAGGAAGAAACAAAGGATAGGCAAAAAATAGAGATTCATTGACAATGTTAACAAATGTAGACTAACATCAACTTCATATATCTTCATCAATCAATATTATACAAGACTGACTTGTGGATATATGTATTTAAACTCTTTTGGTGACAATTCGCCTGACAATGGTTGTTGAATAAGTTATACACCTAAGGGACAGTATTTCGCTTTAGACTTTGTTGAGCTCACTAGGCGACTAGTGCAAGGCTTCATTGAGAAATTTATACTTTCCTTCTTGATCGTTATTATCTAGGAGAAAAGACAAGTTTTATACCATATCTTTTCATACTTTTTCTAGCGTAGTTTCCTTATCTTCCTGTAAATATAAACTGCTATATAAAATGAAGACTTCATGAAACAAAAATGTTTTCGTTGATATCCTTATCAAAAGTTGTACAATTGCTATTCAATATAATCAGTGATTATCGGTTGGGCTGACAAGATATCAATTTTTAAAAGCTTTTGGTTGAGAAAACGATATAGTGACGGAAGTTATATAGGAAGTACTAAAAAATTTAGCAGCGTGAGTGATGAACTCTGGCATAGAATTAAAAATTACAATTAATGAAGTTCGCAATTCATCATGACAGTGGCTACAGCACTTAAAGCAATACAGAACGAATAACAGTTTCAACTTCACATTTGGATATTCTAAACACTTTAGTAGTTTACATACTCTCAATAATTTATTTGAAACAGTCCAGTGTTACTCAGTCAAACAATAATATTTACATGCTTAAACGTTAGCATAGTCATAGTAGAATTCAAGCGAATAATCAACAGGACCACATTTTCTCTCATACTTACATGGAACGGAAATGATCAACGAGATTTCCATGACAAGCTTGACTGTTACACGCATAGGGTTGCTTGGTGCAAACTTTATTTGGTCTGCAGATTGGGCCCAAATAATCATCACATCAACACTGTTCACTGAAATCGATAAATGAAGAATAAGTTAGAAAGAAAGAGAAAATGGCTATGGGTGGGGAATAGGATAAGAAATCAACATATGAGTTCAGAATTTTACGTAATATGAGAGTGATATTTGCAGATGAGTTAGTTTGGCCTAAGCAGTGGGATGTTACAGTGGGGGTAAAGAAATCTGTTTCGAAAGTAAAAGTGGTTTCGGAACACTATCTTGCTTCGTCAACATTTCGTCTAAGCTTAAATTTACTCACTGTTTTGATTGTTTCGACTATGAAGTAGTCATTTGTGTATTCTAAATGGTAGAGAATACATTTTTAGCCCAAGTGGATGATCTCGATTGTGCTGCCTTCTCTGAGATTGCTGGTTTATTCGAGAGAACCCAAAACAGTCAAGACTTTTAAATGTTGATTTCGATCATCTTGGAATCATATTACGCTTTCAAAACTAAATGTGTTGCTTCTTTCATAAAACTTTAGTTCGTCCAGCATACTTTCATGTATTATTCGATCTCCTCCTTGTAATAATTTATCATTGGTCACCGAATACAATGAGTTGCTCTTAAAATAATCGCTACCGCCTTTTTTACAAGTACTAATTTTACTTTGAAAAATGTTTGTGTAAAGTAAAAATGGTGTACCACGTAAAAATATCTTCCTGTCGGCACGTTGTATTCAACAACAAATAGTGTATATGTTGTTTCAGTAACTATAACAACCAAAATATACCAGTAATAACAAGAAATTAAAAATTATTCCTCAGACTTTTTCACTGCATATTAAGGTATATTATACAACTAGATTTTATAGATGAATTGTATATTGGTTTTAAAACGATGAAACAAATCATGCCGACATGTTTCATGATGACAAGATCATGCCTACCGCTTAATGTCACAGTTCTGTCATTTTATGCACTTCAAATAATAGCATGGAAATAAATCACTGACCGCAAAAAATACTACTTATCACTGCGAAAAAGATTTTACCAGTGGTAATGTGACATAAATCTTCAGGAAGCACCAATTAAGATTCATAACGAAAGATTTTTGCCACCATTCTTAGAACCACATTCTCCCGTCAAAAACTAATTTGTTAATGAGTTAAGGACAAGCTGGAGCATTTGAGCGCATCAGTGTGTGTCAGTTTACTTACTCCAGGGCAGTCAAGTACACTGGTTCCACAATCTACCAGCTTGCGAAAGGCAACAGTGAACACCATCTAGCCTAGTTGTCAAATGGAGGACGGGATTGCATCATCAGTTCTTGAGCAGAATACTTAATAAACTCACGACACAGCTCGTTCTGTTAATTCCTACAAACGTTTTGGAAATTCCAGTCCAGCCTTTCGAAAAGATTACAAATAAGGTACAAGAATTCAAAATTTCAAACCATTACTCTGCCCTCAAAAGAAGCAAGGAAAACCTCTTTCTGAACCATGACTGTCATAAAGAAATGACAGCGAGGAATGACTTTATTCCAGTTGTTTCCATCTAATTTTTTCGAACACCATAAACGGTATAAGTGAATATGTACTTGCTCTTTAAAAAGTCTGACTTATAAAGCCTGAGATACTGTTGTCATCAGTCACCTGACTTAATGATTTATCCAGTATTTTAAAGGAATAGTTCCGTCGTAGACTATCCATTGACGGCCAGTTTACTCTAGATTAGCGTATTTTTATTTAGTAACCTATTTCGAACTCCCTAGCTATGACTTATGAGGTGACTCTAATTTATCATAAATTAGTGCTTGAATTCTAATATTTTAGCATTATTCTCTTAATGGTCAGAACTCTTGATATCTATAGATACAACGGAATGCTAACTTGAAAGCAAAACAGAATGATAAAACTGACATCAAAGAAATCATGTCATTGTCTTTCCTCCTCTACAGTGAAAGTGAAACAATGAGGAAACCACAGAATCCTGATTAAGAAAATTCATGAATCACATTGGATTTATTCGATATGGTCTAATTCAGAAAGTAAGACAAACGGTAATAAAAAGTAATACTCATTTAATTCAGCTTTCTGTCGCAACTGAACAGATTTATAAATATTTCTTATAGTGTTTGAACGACTGAAGATGCTTTGAAACCGCAACTGGAGCATACTGTATGCATCTACATTTCATATTTTCAAAGTGAAACTCATGTCTTGTTTTCAACTTTGAAGCGTAGCCAAATATTTTTTAAATGCAGCTTACAAATGACTTACATCTATGGGCACAAAGAAGCTATATATACGATACACAGGAGATGGAGATTTGGCTTATCGCCACTTCACTTCCGACCACTTATTCGGGACATTAGAACTTTCTCCACTTACCGAGGTATCTCCATTTGGTCGATAATACTACTTAGCTTTAGACAGTAGATACAACTCACAAAATAGTAAATGAAGTGCATTCGGTTGTCTTTCAATCCTTTGTCACAAATGTTAATCAGAAATGATAGCAAAAGTATCAGTAACAGCCAAATCAGTTTACTATCTTGATACCCACAAGTTTCAAACTACATAATGCAGTCGTCTACTATTTCTCCTGATAATTATAGCAGATGATTGCAAGGATAATGACTTTAGGTTTAAACCCTATATACACTTTTTCTGAAAGGAAAAGAATTTGATCACATTAAAAATAAAAGATGAAATATTGACAAAATATTTGCAGGAATATAGATAATGTTTAATGCCATAACACCTACACAATCTGACTTACTGGTTACGAAGTTTAACTGTAACGAGAAACAAACCACTTGTAGTTATTATATTGAATACGTTTTTTGAAAGATTTCGCCATTATTAACAAAATTGATAACATTTCCCCGATAATATTCTGTACGCATTAACTTAGTATTTAAAAACGTTGTGGAAAGGGGAAAAGTTCCCAGTGTGATATTTGCATAATGTTATTCGGTGTACAAATTTCAGCTGCAGAAAGTTTCCTTCAATATTTTAGCTGTATTACTTGCACTCAGATATGAGATTGCTCTTGGTTCTACCACGCTTATTAAATTAGCAACAAAACGTCACAAAAAATTATTGGTACCAAATAAATTAATCAAAATGGTGAACTGAAACTCTTAAATTCTAGTCCAAATAGTGAAGAACGAGACAGCATAATACACGAGGGTGTATTTTATGTAACTCACCAAAAGAAAATGAAAACTATCAGCCTGTTGCAGAATATTTTACGACTATACTATATCAAAAAAACATATGTTTGTCTATGCACTACTCAGTGTTGAGCTACATACATTGTGTAAGGACTAATCATACTACCTGGTTGCCCGAAACCTTGGTAGGTGAAAAGGGACCCGAACACTCCACCTCCTAGTTGAAAGTCGAGTGCCTAGACAAGTGCGGTGTATCTCGACACTATGGCTACATTCATAACAGTAAAATATTTTCCGAAATTGTTGTTACAGGAAAAAATATAAACTGTAAAACCTATAAATATCTTGAATAAATAGGATTGACACTGATACTATGAGTAATTCTTAATACTACTTATATAAAGATAGTCAGTCGATGCCTGTTAAGAATGTTCATGTAATAATTCCAAGCTACATTCAATGTACCAAAGTAATTAATGTCAGGCAGCTGTTAAACCTAACTGGGCTAACCCTCTAAACCCTCTAAAATAAGTATCAAATCATCTTTTAGTCTAAAAAAGCCATTAGGCAATCAAAACAATCATAAGGATTTACTGTTATATCATGATTATGAGGTTACCCAACAAATTAATAACTGACAAAAATAAACAGAAGGAAATTAAAACAAACTCAGCCAGCTCAGATATGCTGAAATATTAGGTCTATTTTTTATATCAATAGTGAGCACTGAATAAAACGAACTTTTTAACTTCCTCTTTAAATGCTCCAGTTTTTAGCGTAAAGGTGGCAAGATTAAGTTCCTTTGAATTTCACTTATCATGGAAGTAAATTAATATTGTTCTATTATTCACATATACCGTAGCCAATCACACATCAAACTGTTCCTTTCTATACCTTATGTCGATTTGTGTAGGAGCAAGAGGAAGTGGTTGACAGTTATTGTAATGAAACAAAACATTTCAGCATATTTCGTTGGCGTTATATTCACTACACTGCAATATGTAAAAAAAAAGCACGAAGAGAGACAATAATAAAGTCGTAGATTTCATTCATTTCATTAAACTGAACAGTCTGTCATTTTCGTAATAATGTACAAATGCTGATAAAACAGTGACTTTCAACAGCGCCGTCAAAATGACATCAACCTGAGCACACTGATTCAATTACTGTCGTGATTTTAGAATGTGTTACATCAATGAAATTTGAGCTAAATGAAATTGGTAATCAGAAATATATCCAAGGTGACTTTGGTTTATCGAAGTGTGCACGAGATCCGAATGCAACATTATCTGTATTCACAACAACTCCTTGCATAAAATTTAGAAATTAATGAATATTCTTGAAAAATACAAAGTAATTGGACGAAATTTTTATTACGAATCATTTTCACTAGCCGTATAATCGTATTTTCAGTAATAATGAAAGAACAAGTGAGTCTTTTATTGGCTAATAAGTTAACACTAAGTCATCGAAACGGAATGTTCTAGAGTGGGGTAGTGAGTCAACTCCAGAGTTAGGAAGGGATTGCGTAATCATATTATGTACAGGCTGGTCAAAAATTATTGTGCCAATACTAGTTATAATCGGAGGAAAGAATTCGAAAAGTGTTAATGGGAGATTGAAGCTAACATGTTAAGAAGCAGAAAAATATACAGCGAAATAAAAATTACTAATAACATTATTCATTCAGTAACAGTAAAACAATTACTGAAGCAGTAAAGAAACTGAAGGAAAGGTATTACCGTGATAAGATAAAAGAATGGACTTACCTCTTCTGTATGCAGAACTCAGTCTGTAACTAGTGGTTCGCCAATGCCTTTTGGACATCTAAACGTGGCTCTAACTGATAAATACACATGGATATGGCCCAAAGAGACAGTCTATCTGTCCTTCACACTTCCCTGATTTGACTCTCGACTACGGAAAACTATTCGTAATTCAGTGGCATAGAATATTTTTGGAATACTTTATAAAGACGATTCTTCAGTATTTCTGAAGCGCCGTCGTCTTCTGACACAATACTCATGAATAGGATCTTCTTAAGGACTTGTCTTAGTCGTTGCTTTACCTTTTCGATGAACCTTGGGGGATAGCCATTTTGAGGAAGCACTTTCGGAAGATGTTCCAACTCATCACCCAGTGCGTCATTTGGGCATTTTCTTACCATTCTTGTGCAATGTAAATTAATAAGGTTCGTTTTTTGGTTCAGTGGTACCCAACTTTGGAAATGAAAGTATTGCCCATTATGAGGTGGCTTCCTATAGGTTGGTCTCCACTTAAGAGTCATCAAGTCTTCTCTTCAACGAAATGTCAAGGAAATGAAATTCGGAGTTGTTATTAACTTCTATCGTTAAACTTATAGAGGGTTGACTCACTGAATTTTTTATGAGTGATGTCAAGATCAACGTTTTCGTTCCTGAAGATGAAGATATCATCCACATATCTTCTACATAGATGGAACTGATCGATAATTGGTCGCATTACAGTGGCTTTAAAATTATTCATGAAGTAATCTGCTAGAAGTTTACCCGGTGGTCAACCCATGCCTATTCCACCTTTTTGTCGATAAAATGTGTTACTGAGCTTGAATTGCACATTAAAAGTGCATCGTAGAACTAATTCCTTTAGATAATGAATTTGAATACCGAATGTAGATTATTAGGAAATAAACTGCCTCCTTGAGAAGAGCATTCGTGAAGAGTGAAGTGACGTCCAAAGAGACCATTCGTTTTCCAGATACACTGAGATCACCCAATGAGCCGACAGAATCGAATGAATCAAGTGAATTGTAACTATTGATCCAGTTTCTCACTGGCTGGAGAGTTTCAGTTAGCAACTTAGCAACAGAAAGATTTGGAAAACCACTCATAACTAAAGTTGGATAGAAAGGAACATGCTTCTTGTGTCCCTTCGGCTGGCCGTAGAGTCGTGGGATCACAGAACCTGATGGTTTCAAATGTAAGAACAGATCACGGCTAGTGATAGACTCATTTTTCATCTTTATGGGGATTTTGGTCAACGTTTGTTCAGTTTTTCCACTGTAACTTTAAATAAATTCCAATAAAATTATGGGTCAAAAAACGCTGGCTTAAGTCGGCCAAAAGTTACTGCAGTGAAAAAGTGGTATAATGTACTGAGCAATACTTGCAGTAACAACAATCTCAAGTACTTTCCAGTCCATTACGCAAAAGATTTTCACTGTATTATATGTTATGGTTCGTTTTCCTTCTATCGCCTTTTCATATTCACTTTCGTGTTAAGCACACAAAAGTATAAGTTCAGAAGACTGAAACCACGAAAAGCTGGTAAAGGTTTTATTGCTAGATAGATAAAAACTGGCTTATGAGGGAAAAAACGAATGCCAACAAATATCCTAATTTAAGCATGGCTAAAGGTACTCATTCCGTGTCTTTTCATTGTTCACACTCAAGGGGAAGGTTTAAAAATGCATTTTAGCTCTTACTAGAATCCATGAATAAAACACATTGCCGAACCCAATGATTCATCGTACGTGAAATCAAACCAAGAACGGTAATTTACTAGTATTTATACTGGGTGATAATTGGAGGTGAGATGTAAACCTGGACCGCTGCCGGATTCAAACCAGCGACCAGAGGATTACAGGCCTGGTGCTCTACCAACTGAGCTGCGAGGTCCGACTGCAACTAGATTTTTATTTCAATTCAATCACTAAGGGCTTTGCCCGACTACCATGTGAATTCGAGACGCGTTGCCACTTCTTGATCGTATTCACACCGGCTGCCTAGTCAGGACTTCTCATCCATATCCAAATCTAACTGAATCAGAGAGGAGAAGTATCATATCGACTGTCATTTAACCACCTGAGATAGCTGCAGTTTAGCATACTAGTATTTATACTGGGTGTGTACTTGGTGGTTGCTGGTTCGAATCCGGCCGCGGTTCAGATTTTCATCTCACCTCCAATCATCACCCAGTATAAATATTAGTCTCAGGTAGTTAAATGATAATTTACTACTACTCAACAACTGGCAAAGTGCATTCTAGCCCTCAGTGCTGAGAGTAACTCATCACAATGGTCAGTAGATCAAAATAATTCAGTTGATACCAAGGCTTAAAACTTTATGCTGATTATTATCTAAAGATTTATTCTTCTGATAACAAGAATATTTTTTTCGATTATCGGAAATTCAGAAATCGAACTGGAAATCAGATCTAGTTCATTTAATTACATAGGACTATTTGTGTGTATAACAGGGTACTCAAAACGTAATATAGATTCTGTTTACTGCAGTAAATGAGCAAAATTAGCTCATCAGACAAGTGAATGCCATTTTTGTTGACTTTTTTTGTTTAATCACCAACATTATTATTATATAGTATACTATCATATTATTTTAATGGACGAAAAATTATTGAAAGCTCTTAGGAGCAGACTCACAGTAACAGACTTTGGTTTTTAACATCTGACTTTCTGTTTCAAGAATCGAGACACTTTTTCACAGGTTTGCAGGAGTCATGAATGACGGTATAGATACGCACTCAACTGACTTATAACTGATCATAGTTTTGGTTATTTAACTTCGATTATTATATGATCCGATCATATTAGTAACAGACTAAATTAGTAATTCTACTTGAATTTATTTGAAAAACTAAAAATAATTCTACACACTTTCACCTGACTATTTACATCATATCCTCACTCCAACATAAAGACAATGGATAAAAAATTCTTGTCGAATTTACCTACATATCTTTATAATTTATGGCTCGGAAAAAAACAGGAATATTTACTTGTCTGGAATTTAACACTTTCTGACAATTACCACTGTTACTGCAGCTATTGTTTTTGTTTATCTATGGCACCAAAATGAACGTTACTAGTATTTAGTAGCTGCAGTTATTAACAGTAGTAGTGGTAGTAGTGGTAATAACAGCAACATTGCTGATATATTTAAAACTGCTTCAATAATCCTTCATATGACAGTAATGTTTGTTTTACGGGTACTGTTTGCTGTACTGTTTCGTTTTTTGCATAGTGTGGAGTGAAATTTCAATTCTGACAAGAATGTTTGTCAGTACACAGTTTGGTGATCATTACTAATTCTTTTAGACCCTAAAACTACAAGTAAAACAGAACACAATGAAAAATAAAACACCATGTACATGTACATTTCCTTCTATGGAAAAGGTTGTTATTGTTATTTAATGAACACTATACGCCTTATGTTAATATTTGATTATTATCTTTGTGGTGACTAATTTTTCGATATATTTTGCAACCATAAACTGAAACAACTGAACATAATTTTGCATTCAAATGTAATCTGAAGATGTTCGTATGTCAAAATGCAAAACTGTGTAAATATAGCTTAGTACAGTATTACTATCAAATAATCTCAGCAATAGTATCATTTTTGTATGAAAGCTGAATTCAGAGTTTACTTTCATGCAATTTTTTTGACGTGAAGATAAAATTAATGTATGAAAAATAAGGTTGTGTGAGTGTTATCTGCAGACAAACATCTTCTTTTGAGTTTTCACTAGAATATGAGCTTCCCTAAAATTAAGAACACTTTTTGTTAATGAAAGCTGACAAACAGAAAACCTAAGTTCAGAATTTCCTGATGACAGACTCTTTTTATCCAGAACCGATAACAATCCACTAAGGTATCTCTACTCAGCTTTGAGATTGCACTGCACATTCTGTCAACAAACTTTGTTTATCCCTTGTAACCTGGAAACTCTATCGGTAAGCATTCTACAGCTGATCCATTTGCATATATTTTGCATACTGTTAGACAACTTTAGGGATGTGTGACTGAGCACCTATTATCGTTTCTGAGAAAAGTTAAATTTATACAACTTTTGGTGACCTCACAATTAGCTAACAGTAAATATGCAGTAGTGAAAGTAAAAGTCCATCGCATTCGGTCATGTCTTTTAGAGATATGACTGAAGCCGCATGCATTTGTACAGCCTTTATTTACACAACGAATTTGTGCATCATTTATCAGTGTCCTGACATGGGAATGCATGATAAATAAGTTTCTGCCAAAATTTTCAACCAAACTCCATATCTTTTAACAGCTAAATACGCATTAGTACTGATGTTTACTCTTCAGTTGTTCAGTTCATAAATTTCTGACCATTTTAAACTTTTGAAATGACTCTTTACATTACCAGCTGTCTTCATTACCACTTACATTATTTGCATCATTATCATTATTTGTATGATCAAAATGCCTGATAATCATTTGATAGCATGTTGTAACTGATTAGATGTTTTACATTCTATTGAAGCTTGAAGGAAAACTTTCCGAAAACACTATAGTCTCCCTTCATACCTTATACATATTTAACTGATGAAAAGTTTTAGCGTATTAGCATATCTATCATTTTATATGAATATGTTAATGAATACTTGGATAAAAGTTCGAAAGCCTAACAAATGTGAAGTGTTTTTTAATGTCTAAGAGTGGGTATTTGTCTTGCTTTAGTGAATAGATTAAATGTCTGAAGTAATAAATTATTAAATACACTAATCTTTTCATCACGCATTTTGTTTGGAATTTTATTCAAGAAAAGAAGTGATCTCAATCAATTCTTTTGAAGGTAAACTGCTTTTGCCAATTAAATAAAAAGCATAAATAAGCACTAAACAGGAAACAATTTAGCCTTATGCAAGCTGAAAGGAGACTTTCTTCTTTTAATTACGAAACTCTTAGTATAAATGGACAAAGAGTTAGAGTAGGCCAGTCAGTCAACACTGTCATTGGGATGGTCAGTCATGAAAAAAGGGATCACAGGCTGATTTTTCTAAAGTAAATCAGTTTTGAATTTCTATGCTGTTAACTAGAGAAGTGTTATATTTTGATAAACTGAGATTCTTTTTAAAACAAGCAACCTGAACAGTAAAGCTGGAAATAACACGCAAAATAATCTGAATGGAGACAGGAACTTAGAACTTTTGGGGTTGATACTGAGATTAACAACTGATATTAAAATAATAAGGCTTCAGCTTAGAGTTTAACTGAAATTTCATTACTTCTCACTTTCTTATTTGGTGATACTTGAATGAGCACTATGATGACAGTACATATAAAGAATAATGCAACAAAGTAAATGGGAACTAAGCTTTTCCGATCAAAAGCTGTAACTTGTTATCATGGTTCTGCCTAAAAGTCAAAACAGAAGACGACTGATTCCAAAGTGAACAATTGTTGCTTCAGACCCAACCACTGCAAACACGTCTATTGGATAGTTGTAAAACTAAAAGTAAATACTACTTTGCCGTAAATAGCTTATACTATTATCGGCACTTCAAAGAGATGATATACCGTTATCTGGACAAGAATGTAGCATTAGTAGGATGTCCTAACGTGGCGACCAGCTCTCCATCTACGCCGTCCTCTAGCTTTAAATAGGAGACATTCGGAAATATCAGCCCTGAAAACTCAACACTCTTCTCCTCCTCTACAGCTTTCTGTCATCCGTGATACAGTTCTCTTAGAAAGACTGCAACTGTACAGACATTAGTACCCTTAAATAGGCAGCGTGTTACCGGCCCCACGTAAAAACCAACTGTCATCTGTGATCACGTAAAAACAGTCGGCGTTTTTTAAGCCTCAACAAAAGCATACAATAAAGGTAGCCCGATAGTATCAATAAACTAGCATACAACCCATCTGATCCTAGCCTCCGTTTCTTTCCTTTGTTTCATCACCTTAAATCCTTCCTCCCAAACCAGTGCTAATAATCTGAACCAGAGAAACGCTTTTACTAGACTCCTTAAACCAATTTTATAGTAGAACTTTCAACATGAGAGCCGTAAACTAAATCAGATACAGGCCTCATTCGCTGCATCTCTGGAATGTGAATACTCGGATATGTACTTTGTTTCTAGACAAGTTTACGAGACCAAAGTTTGGTTGTTTACTTGACCTCATTTGGGCCAATTTAGGGAATTTGTAAAACTCTTCTTTTAAAAGTCCAGAGATTCTACCTTTTGTTGTTGCCAACTGAGTTATATAAGGTTAGCATCAAATTATAGAATGAAAAATATATCTCTTAAATGGATCCTAGTTGACAGTTTTCTGCGTACTGTCTACCCGACCGGACCTATCTGAGTTGGAGATGATAGCGACACTGAGTGATGCTTATTTATGGTCATCACCTACGTGTCCACTGACTGTGCTTCAGAAGACATGAATCATGAATCCCACTAAAAAGTATCGATTTTATTACCGGACGCAAGTCACTCAAATACAGACATATCAGTAGGTGACTTAGATGCTGAAGTAAGGAAGCCTATTAAATCACAAAGGCAACTTCGGGGTATACATGGAATTCAACACCGAAAGGCTGACAATGATTTCTGTACTGTTTAAGAGAGTAAAATATGAATTCATTACTCGCACTTGAGATTCAGTAGAACCAATTATTCCGAATGGCACAGGAAAAGCAAGGATTGTAACAGTAATACGAATATTCTAATGAGTACCAAAACAGCGATTCCACCAAACAGGCCAGTTGGACACAGTCACACAATATTAAATACCTATATATATATATACAGTAAAATGGTAAAAATATCACAGACTAAGTGTTATTTTATATAGTAACCAATAGAATTATAGTATGTAACTTCCCATAACTTGATAAGACCGCTCAATGGCTGATGTATGTGCCACATGTATGTCAGAATAGTCACAAATCATTACAGTGACCACCCAAAAACATTTCTGACGGTCACTTGTTCCTAGCCAACACAAAATTATAACATTACTAAGGGCACTATTTCTCTTGATGGCCACTGAAATAAAACAAACTATGGATAGCGATAAATATTACCATTAAAAGCTGGGAAGGAGCCAGTGAGGAAGGATCAACCTTATTGAAGTAACTGCTTTAACTACCATCATGAGTGAATCCAGTATTTGCGTCCTAAACCGTAGTGGGCGAAGGAGACAAATAGCAGTAAGATACCTGTTCTCTGCTGGAAAACTATTCCATATTTAAGAATAAGGTATGGATGTATTCATCTGAACAAAGCAGCAACTCTTATTCAGACGAAACCAAAAGCAACATTTATTTCAACACAGGAACAACACTGAAGGCAACAAGTAAGGTAGAGCTGAACGTAATATAACGTCCGTCGATTTCTGTAACCTCATCTTAATTAATTGATGTCAGAAAAATTGCTCTTATCAGCCATATTGATTATCTCAATAGAAAGCAGGTTATATAAAAAGTGATGAAGAGTTGACACGGTGCCAGCAAGCCTCGTTGAGCATCAGAACGAAACATGCAGGAATGGGTCAGTCCTAAGTTATACCATTCGATCATTCAGACTTGTCACGAAGAAAAGCAGAAAAAAGACGATGTATCATAAAAAATGATGAATCCCTGATAATCTCGAGGATACAGGACTGTAGCAGTGACTGAGAATTACTAGTACTAG